GGTCTCCAAACAAAGTAAAATAAGGAAAAGCTGCTCAACTGTATAGTCCAAATCTGACTAAGAGGAAAGAAAGAGCAGTGTAACTTGTTGATACTGGAACTCAAACTGCAATCCTTATTTCCATTATAGCCAGGTCACCTGGCTATAATGGACATCACAGGATTACTTTGCCCAGGACAGATCTGACAACAGAGGAGTTGTTTCTGGAAGTATGTTTTATCTGTTCATGTTGTATCATACGCTTATTTGCTAAGCATGCAAAGTGAAAGAGCTGAGGAGGGGATCAAAAACACCCAGAAAAGCAGCACGTTCAGTATTTTGCTCCTCTCACCTTTCTACAGTTGTTTGATTGTCTAGCTGATCTTGATTCAGTTTGTATTCAGGATTCTCAGTAACTGGTTTCGTGATACTTCCAAGGATATCATCTCCCTGTTCTACTGCTAACCTGATATCCTCCTACAAAACAAAACAAAAACAAACCCCCACACACTGTAGTTGTGTGCTGTTGGTTTTTTAAGCAGACTTCATAAAGCACTGAACCAGGAAACGGTTAATAGGAATAGAGCAAGCATGCTTCGATTAAAAGCAGTGTTTGACAACAAATACAGACAGTAAATAATAAATGTCAGATTTTCCTACATTAATCATCTTAAGATCCCGGTGTAACCGAGTTGAATGTTCATGACAGATAGCCTTCTAGTGTTCCCTTAGGCTACAAATAGCTCAGAAATTTTAGATGTACAGTTTTGAAACCCCCAAATAGTTCTCATTCAAGCTGATTTGAAAGAACATTTGTCCATTCTTCAAAGGTCATATATTTTCAGATGCATGCAAATTGAATCAAATTTCTTGTTACAAACAAAGCTACGAATTAAACACACCACTACTTACCAAGGCCATTTCTGTTTCCACATACAAATCATTATGCATTTATACATGTTAAAAATCCTTCTTGCATTCAAAAATTGCATTTCTTGAGGCTAAGTTTACATCAAACCAAGCAAAAGAAGTTTCATAAGATTTCAATGTTTCGCGTTGTTATTGTCTATTAACATCCTCCAGATTTTCTATTAACATTATTAGCTATAAACTAAACCACAGTTTAACTAGAAGACAGCATATTTACGAAAATCACATACCTTCATTTTGTCCTTCTTTTCCGTGTGCATTGCAAGGAGGGAGCTGGTTGATTGCACATCATTTGGTAGTTCTGTTTCAGCCAGCTCAGTCCCAAAGGACTGGAGAATCTGAGCTGTTTGCTTAACCTTTTGGGCGAAACTTTCTATAGCCTTTTGGAATAAAAACCATTAATGATGTTTCATGCTCATCACATGCATATGCATAAACACACATACACACAAAATATAACTCAAAAAACAAACCCGAGCAGATGAATTACGAGACTGAAAAATAGTCAAAATATAATTTTGCAAGCAACAGATACCGTCACCATTAATTGTATGTTTTTCCTAGGCTCGTATCACGTATATCTTCTTCATATTTATATAATCTGAAGTTATTCTACAACTTGAGTTTTTTCTTTCTCGTAGCAAACCCAATAAACCTCAACACAATAAAACACTAGTTCCTTTGCTCCAAGTGTTCAGAAAACCACTCCCAAATTATTACTCATATTTTTTTTCCTCTAAGATGACTAAGTACCATTGGGAACATCTTCTCACTCCGACCAAGTCAACTTGCATCACTTGGAATCTGTTTTATAAATGACAGGGTACAAAACAGAAGGGTTCATTAAGCTGAAAAGTTAAAACGAAAAAAACTCGGACTTACAGTGCGATTGGACAGCCATCTGTTATGGCAGTAATCCAGGGTGCCACCAAGATCTTCTGTTAACTGTGTTTTATCAATGTAACTCTGCAGTTCTGACACTGAGCCCAGCATTATGATCTGCAGCAGCAAAGAAGAATGCAAACAATGGCATGGAGTCCCTTATGAAGGACTAAGTCACATCCTTCAGCCTCTGATAGAGAAATTTCAGTTTAATACAGAAGCAAGGGATGGAACTATTTCCTTTGGGTATGCAACACACAAACTTAACAATTGTTTCAGTTGAAGATGGTTGTAAATTTAAATAACAGCAAATGAGCATGAGCACCACACTTAACAGTGCATATTAAAATAAAGCTTATGAATTATCCAATTCATAAACGATTCCATTAGGAATTTTTATCGTGGTAAGCCATACATGACTATTTTCTAAGAGGAACCTTCAATACAAGATTCAAGAACCACTTTTAAGCATGGGTATTTTATTGAATTTGGGGTTGTGGTGGTTTTTTTGTTCTCCCTGGCTAGATTAAATACTTTAATCCTCTGTTTTCACTTTATTATCAGGGATTTGTCACTTACAGGTACTTTCATTTTACACTCATGTTGGTTGATCTTGAAAGCAATGTCCGAGAGAGCTCGATGAAAAAATCCTGTTGGGCGCAGAACAAGGACTAGTTGCAGGTTTCCTGGGAAAGAGGCCTGCAAAACAAGTTTAGTCTGTTATTTTCAAAAATATTTTCTGGATCTGAGACATAAAACACGAAGAATCCCCTGTTAAACCACAAACTGATTTTATCAAGGCCGCCCATAATGGGTTGACCAATTATAAACCTAGCAAGGCTTGCACAGAGAGCTTCATTCAAAGAAACACTTACTCAGCTTTGGGAACAGGAATCTATTGTCCTGCAACTGAGTTTTTCAGGGCTGGCTTGTACTGCTCTTCAGCTAAAGTTACATCCTAGCCAAGTTGGCTAATGAACAAACAGTGGTGGCTTAGTACTTTGTCCAACAGCAGTACTTTGATGGTTACCTTATCTTTAAAAGAAGGTGCCAAGAAAAACCTTCATTATTGTCTGAACACCTAACACCACATTTCCAGTTTGCATGTATACCTTGACAGTTGTCTACAGAAACTACTGCCACTGAGACGGAATTTCTCAGGCAGTAGTGTAGAAATAAGTTCTCATTTTGCAGAAATGAATTAAAAAAAAAAAAAAACAAAAAAAACATCATAATGCTCAGCTAGTGTTTTTCTCATCATCTTCCAACTAGTAGTCTGATGGATCTTTCCCAGTTCTACAAAGTGATAGAGGGAAAACAGAAGTGAGGAGAAGGAAAGCAAAGAAATAGCATTAAATTACTAAAAATCATCCTCTGCTGTGGCAGAGGTTTGTATATTTGGCATTGAGCCATTCTTGAAATCATGCAAGCCTTCTTCCTTATTCAGGATTTCCACTGTAGAGAGACTGTGAAGCTGACTAAAGAAGTGATCATTAGAGTGATTAAGTATGCGATTTTCTTTGTTATACTGTTAGAAATTATGTCACATTTCTAGCAAATTGAATTACTACCAAAAAAAGCTAACCAAAACCCAAACACTGACTGAAGGAGCTGTTATGCTATGCTCTGTTTCCATGCCTAGAGAAACTGTTAGTATCTGGAAGGTTGGAGAATGGTTTAATACCCATTTTAGGGTTTCCAAGGGTTCTGGGTATTTAGCATTGGGAGAGACAAACTTTTTAAAAGAGAAAAGTAGTTAAAAACATATCTGTGGAAAACTTCACAGATTCATTGTGGTTCCCCAGATATTCAGTGTATAACAGAGATCTCCAGTTGATTGAGGAACCTTAAAAGACTTGAGCTTCACAATCTGCCTCCAGCAATACCCAAATTTTCTAGAAAGTACAGTGGTTCAGTCCTGAAGTGTCTGGAATTTTTCAAGACCAACTGGACAGGGTGCAAGATAATCTCTGAGGCTCCCCTTCCCACAATAGGTTGGGCCAGATGATCTTTCAAGGTGTCTTTCATCCTGGGCTGTTCTGTGATTCTATGATATTTAGACTATTACTGAAGAAAACAGCTGTAGCCAAATGCAGTGTAATAGTAATATTTTCTAAATTGTGTATTAGCTTTTATGAGAAAGAGAGTTTAATTGCATGACTAAATTAAGTAGGGTCTCTCATTAATGGTCAAATCAAAGAAAACAGACAGAATACACCTTGCAATTATTCTCCATGTGTCTACTCAAAATGATTCTACTGAAATCACTAGTGTCTCGTACCACCTATACTAATTTCCATTCAAGACTTGCCAGAAGTTTCCTCTCTCTTTCAGCAAAAGCTCAAATTCTAGATTACTCTGTTTACAACACTGTTCTTGTCTCCTATGCTTTCCATTTGGCTTTGCTTTTCAAAAAAAACCCTGAGTCTTAATGAGGCCTTCCCGGCTTGTCCTGGCTTGGAGTCAAATGTGCAAACTGATCTTTGTTAAAGAACAACAAAAAAAGGGAGGATTGCTACAGTAAACAGTGTTGAACCTGTGCCAGCTCTGCCAGGTTATCTGAACTTATACCTTCACTGCCCAAACATTACAATTTTCCTAACTTTCTATTTTCTAAAGCCCTGGTGACTTGCACAAACACTGATATGATGCAAGGGCACTCCTTCGATACATTTGAGCTTCGTCAGTCAGTCAACTTCAACCCTGAACATGAGAACACCACCACCACAAAATAATCTTCGTTCCAGTCCAGCAGCATATTTGTTTGAAACTATTGTATGCTTAGCAGACAGAGCAAACAATGACTTCTCAATAATGCTGTGACAAGTGTTAAGCACAAAAAAAAAAGTGAAGTCACTGAACACCAGCATGCTTGAAGAAAGCTTTGTGTGCTTGTAAACTATTTTTCCCAAAAGGGTCTTTCTTTACTATTTATTAACTTCTCTCCCAAGTTCTTGTCTTAAATACTGCACTTTATTTAATGCCTATGCAAGAGAGACCAGCGGAAAAATAAACCTTCATATTTTTGGTATCCCCTATGAAAATTAGGGTAGATATTCTAATCTATTCTACATATTTCTTTGCCTCACTTGCATCAGCAGCGAGACGTGTTTGATGCCTCATGACACTCAGAGGATTAGTTTTCCATGTGCTTATCTCCTTCACTTCCTCATCCAGCCAGTCATGTGCCAATTCCAAAGATACAGAAAAGGACGTAGATGTGCATGAAATTACTAGCTTTGAAATAAATCTGACCAAACTGAGAATTTATATACAGCACAGCCCTTAAATCAAAGCTTTCCAATATATGGAGTTGCTTGCCGTCCTATGAGCACTCCAAACCTGGAATGTGGGAAGAACCTTCACTGGATGGACAAAACAGGAGCTACCTCAAAGACTCTTGAGAAAACAGTTAATAAATACTCAGGACAAGGCTGACCTGCCTGCTTTCAGGCCTCAACTTCTCAGGGATGGGGAGCTTTCCACTGCATGCTCCAGGCCTCTGGAAAGGGGGAACTTAAGAGAGACTGAATCCAGCTGAGTTTTAGGCAAAATGTAAAATTAAGTTAGTTGTGTATAATCTTAATTATCTCTTTCCTTCACAGAATATGAATGACAGAGGCACCAGTACTGACCCTGAAGTTAATGAGCTGTTAACTGGCAAAGGTAAGGAGATGCAGGCTATATCACCAATAAAGATGATACAGTACTGAATGGCTGATAAGGAACTGCAAAAACCAAGCAGGAAACAACCCCCAGGAAATAACCCCCGCCTGATGCTCGGGAAGGGGCAGCGGCAGCTTATTCATAGGGAAGGAAGAACAGCATTTTCCTTAAGACAGGTACTGAGGTTCTCCCTATCTTTGTTTTCCGTTGTGTAACGTGGCCTTGCCCTCTTGGTGCTAGTGGGGAGCTATTTAAGTCACTCAACATCTGCACCAGTCAGGCAGAGCAGCAATCCCACACACTCCTGCCTGACAGCAGTTGTAAACAGCACATAGGTGCTATAGGCTATTGGGCAGATGGTGCTTCCAAAGGAGGAGTAAGTCTCATTAAATCGAATCCTTTAGAATAGTCACGATACTCATTGAGACAGGATGCGGTGCTGCCAGGCTGCTGCTCCCCAGCAGAGGCAGCGCAGGAGCAGAGCTGGAGTCTACAACCAGGAGCCAGTCAATATAGCTTTCAGCAGCCAATACCCAAACCTGAGCTTTCAGAAAAGAAAACCTAACACCTTTGAGTTTTCATATCTCAGGTTTCCTCCAATGGCTTCTTTAGTATACAAGGGAATTATGTAGGTAGATAAACCCTTTAGACAGAGATGCATTTAAAATAAAGTTGCCATCTGCTGTTCAATCCCACAGAGCAATTCACTCAGCTGCCCCGGTGCTCAGAAGTCTTTTATACTCCTATGCAGCAAAGGAAAGTCATTCTGACAAACAGTGAACCTACAACCCCTTTTCTTCTGCTTCCCAGGTAAACAGCCAGCTTTCAGAAAGATTTGAACCATGTGAGCCATCAAAGAGCTAATGCTTGACTCAGTTTTAGCAGTTCTGTCTGAAAACACTTGGAACAAGACTATATTTAATTTTATTAAGAGCTTCAATGTACTCACATACTAAACTGTGGTGGTGTTTTCCCTTCTGCACTTACTAGTATGCTGTAAGCCACAAGGTACTTCTTTCCAAAATACCTCTGTATATAAAGGAGCTAATAAGTACCTTTTCCCCACCCCCACCCCCTGCAAGACTGTTTATTCCAGGCTAGAATGAAGTCTTTTACACAGGCTTCTCATCAAGAAAGAATCTTGAATTGGGTCAATTCATAAAAGGAGCTGTTTGAAATGTAGTTTTAAAAACATTGATCTATTTTGCGTTAGAACCAAGTTTAATGCTTGTGATGCTGTGATCCTGTTTGCAGAGTTTAAGGGATTCACTTCTCTCTTTTTATGTATTAAAAAAATGTTATAAGAAGGAAAAATGGTCGACACCACAAAGATAACTGCGAAAGTGCCTGCACATGTAATAGTCTCCAAGCATCCAAAGCAATAAGACAAAACCACACAGCATCTCAAAATAACCTTCTTAGCTCATCATTTGCTGGAATCATTCATAACAATAGCTACAAAATTAACACAAATACTGTTCGAGCTTCATCATGCTGTCAAGTTTTTGGTCTTATTTTGAATCCAAGCAAAAATGAGAAACATGACCAGGGGCTGAAAGAAGAGCAGTTTTTTCAAACCTAACTCACACAAATTGTTAAAGGACATTACAATATTCAGGACATGAAGCAAAGAGCTACCTAAGAACTGGACTAGTGGGAAATGCCTATCAAGAACATAAAACAGCACTTTTCATGACCATGAAGCATCAGTTACTAAACACATCTTTCATCCATCAACAACTCAATAAGAACCTCAACCTCTCTCTACAAACAAGGGCAAGGAATTCAAGGGGGGATTACTGTAATTCACTGTCTCTCACTTTGGATGTAAAACCAATGATAAGACTCCAGATGGCACAAAAACTGGACTGCCTGGCTCCTGCAAGGTTTAGGCTGGTATTAGCACTCCAGCCTCATCATTGGCTTTTGGTCTTCTCTGGCCAGCTAAAGGTCTTGGCCTGAATCTTCAAAGCAATTAATGGGCTGAGCCTCTGTTGCAGTGAAGACTGCATTTTGATTTATGAAGTGCTAAG